CTACAAAAATAAAAAAAAAGAAGATCACGTCCTCCGAGGCACTGACCTGGCTCTAATCCTGGGTAGTCTATGGTAGCGACAACACGGAGCCGGTGGTAAGTCTAGAGGATGGCACCCAAGCTTTACGACTCAAGAACTCAGTACATATATGTAGAGTGCCGATTCATAAATTCCGAAAAAAAGCCAGCATGTGCCGGCTTGTCGTGTACGTCGCTGCCACAAATTCACAATACCAGCTTTGTATTCCTGTGGTTTAGCAAATTATCTTTATTTTTGGCCGGAAATTTTTTTATTCGCCCGCGCGCACTAGTTTCAAACTTTGGGGGTCTTCAGAGGATGTCATCCATAAAATTAAGTCGGTGTGGCCTAACTACAACGCACCTGATGTAGTCCGGAGTGAGGTTGTAAGCAGCGTTGTAGCTTTTCTTTGTAAGCCTGTTGGGGTATCCTGCGTACGTCACAGATGCACCATATTTAGTCATGGTGCAGGGAATGGGACAGTCACATTTAAGTTCCCCAGACACCAGCTGAGCTGTAAAAAAAAATTTAACGGCTGTAAACTTTGTAAACAAAAAATGACTTATACTATCATGAAAGTTCATCGGTGTTGGTCCAACGCAAAAAAGTTCTCTCACTTATATAAAAGCTTTCTAACAGTCACACTGATGTTGATGTCACACTTCAAAGAACCCACATGACAAGCCTCACTGGGTCAGTCTACTGAGGAAGACCAGAGTGACTGGTCGAAAGCTCTAGGTGAGAGAACTTTTGTGATGGAACAAAAGTTTTTAACTCTAAACAAAAAAAAGACTTACTTAAAACTTGGTTGACGCACTGGAAGATGGTTGGTGGCTCGCAAGGAGTGGCTGTTCCTGTGAGTTTTTGAGGAAAAAAAAATCAGTTTAAACTTGTTTCAGAGTGCAATTTTTGTTGTATTTGCTTTCCAGTCTCTAAGAGAGTGCTATTAGATGAAAATATGTGTATTTACCTGGTAGAAAGTAGGGAGTACACTGGCAGGCCTGCTCCACATGTCGACTGCGGCACTCCAGCAGGCACGCAGGGAGCGTGTACGGGTCATAATGTGTCAGCTGCAGTTCCCCGCACTTCCCCCAGGGGGGCTCATGGTTACGGTACTGCAATATCAAACCAATCTATAAGTATATAAATCTACAAATCCATATATCTATAAATCTATAAATCTCTCTATCAGTCAATCATACGGGTCATAATGGGCCAGCTGCAGTTCCCCTCACTTCCTCTAGGGGGCCTCGTTACGGTACTGCAATAACCAATCAGTCAATCCATCGATCAATCCATCGATCAATCAATCAAGGTATCAATCAATCAATCGTACGATTATAATGTATCAGCTGCAGTTCACCGCAATTCCCCCAGGGGGCTCATGGTTACGGTACTGCAATATCCAATCAACGAATCAATCAATCGATTGTACATGTGTGTGTGTGTGCATGTGAGTGTGTGACTGTGTGTGTGTGTGTGTGTGCCTGTGTGTGTGTGTGTGTGACGTCACAGTGAGGTCAAAGTGACGTACCTGTGTCTGTCTGACAGCCATGAAGGCGTGGTTACCCGGCGCCAGTGCCACGGCCTGACTGTCCATCACCGGCGGCTCCGTCTGGTCGTGCAGAAGGACCCGGATGCCGACCTCCCCGTGACCTCCAGTACTCACCGTCTCCGTGGAGAATTGCTGAAGAAAAAAAAAGTTTCCTTCAATTGTCAAATGGCGGGAAATTTCTAGTCTCCATCAGACTTCTTTTGCGGGCTGAATAAATCGTAGAAATTGGCCTAAAAAGGGTATTAATTGGCCAGAGAAGGTAGCCGGCCAGAGAAGCTCCATTTG